GAAGCAACCACCTGTCTCTTATACACATCTAGATGTGTATAAGAGACAGGACAAATCCTGGCGCCACCCCTGTGTATAATGATAATAATGATCATCTTTTAATCGTTTTAAATTGTTTTTGAGTAAAAGCTTTAATGATTATAAGACCTATCAAAAGTAATATAATAATTAAAAACAAAACACGATAGTATGCTTTTAAAACTCTATATCACCGTTTAACTCTAGTCGAAGATGAAGTGTACACCAAGAGCCCAAGTGTAACTGGTCTCCAAGGTAATCAAATTGTTATTGAATAAATATAGGCCTACTTAGATACTATTATATTTACCTATATTCTCGTCAATTCAAATTTAATTATAATACATAAAATAATCATAGAAATATAACTAATATATTAAGCTACCAATTGTTTATGAACGTCACTAAAATAACATGTTGTTATGTTATTATTTTCTATTAACTCAAGAATAACCCATGTTAATTAACTTGTAATTTCCTTTACTATACAGTTACGACGACGGTTAGGTCTACTACAGACGATCCAGTTACAGAATTAAGAGGTACTGTATTGCAATAAATTATATAATGCAATATAACTGTTAAATTATTAATGTTAATAACAATAATATATATATGATTTTGACTATTTTAAACTCGATAATAACATTTCTTTTCAGCGACGTGTGAACCAAATATATGTAAAAATGGTGGTGAATTTGATGCCCGGTGCGAGTGTCTCTGCAAACCAGGTTACTACGGTACGACTTGCGAGCTAAAGTATCCATCGGCACTAGGTAAGCTTTTTGTATACTGTATTTATATTTGTATTTTACATATCAAAAGTGATATTGTCTGTGTTAAATGAACACTGAAACGTGGGGGGAAACCCGATTGTTTGATAGGACGAGATTTGCAGTTATATTTTCTTATATTATATTCGTCACATCATACTATCCTTCTTTTAGATTGCACATACAAACTGGTAGATTCAAAGGGAAACATAACGTCACCAGGTTTTCCATCAAATTATGTTAATGAACTGGATTGCAACATTTTAATTTCAGTAAGTACCACAATGTTATCATCCGTTCCGAAGTATTAATCAATGAATATGCGCATGCCCCACAAACAAGCGCGTTACGTACGTTTACGCTGTTAAAGATCTCACACTATAAAAACAATAGGGCCTATCCAATCGCCGGGGCTTGGCGGAAGTTCATTATGGGTATAGTGTTAGCATAGAATATTTTCCAATAATTATTAGACAGCGTTCGATACTCCATTAAATAAAAAAGGCTATTTTTCAATCATTGACGGAGAGGTGTGCAAATATATAAAAAAATACACTTTAAAAAAAAATGAAATTAAAGAGATGTTAGTCTTATTGTTCTATTGTAACAGGCAATCTTCAGGTTGGTAAAGCTTCGCTTTTATTATACTCTAACATTTCTCCCAATATTTATTAGGGAGGTGAAGGTACAACAATTAAGCTGACGTTCGAATACATCGATATAGAAGATGTTGCTGGGTGTATATACGATTACATTGATGTTCGACCTGATGACATCCACAGTGATGGAAACAAGTAAGTACAGCATTGTGACTCTGCACATATTTTAGACAGATTATAATTATAATTAATCCATTTAGTTTGTTAAAATGTAAACATTCTGAGCTTTCATTCATTGATTGACAGCACACAACCTCATTTAAGTATTGTAATACTTACTTACTGATCATTGGGACGTCACATGCCTATCATTAGCTCATGTAAAGTCCGCTTTATTTATTTATATCTATTCAGGTATGCAAAATGTATACAAAAAGTAGCCAATGGCTAAAATTATTGCATATACAAGAATACAAAATTAAAAAATTATGAAATTGTACAAAACAAAATTAATATAGGCCTATGAAAGTTACAAATCAAATGCATATTTACAAAATTTAAAGAAGAAAAATTAAAAAAATATGCCTATTCTGTTATAGACGGACTTTGAAGCTTTGATAATAAATAGACCTAATTATTTCAAATTTTAATTATAGATATTGTGGTACAACGTTACCGCCAGTTATAGAGAGTAGCCGCGAGGAGATGCTGTTGAGGTTCTACACAGACATCAGTATAACTGAGACAGGATTCAGAGCGAGGTATGAGATTATCAACCATCTCAGTGAATGGAATGAGTGGTCAAACTGTTCCAGCACATGCGATGGTGGTGTCCAGAATCGAACGCGAGAATGTAATAGAACTTGGCCGTGTAACGTTCCTCTGTTCGAAGAACGCCCCTGCAACGAAGAGCCTTGTCATGGTAAGTTGTTTTTAATGCTATGTTCATGAGACGCAAAGAGTTGAAACAAATTAATCTGGTTGTTTGTAGTAGTACGGTAGGTTGTAACGTTATTTTGAAAGTTATTCAAACGCAAACACTAGAGTAACTTTTGTCGAGTATGTTGAGGCTATGTTCAGGCATACGATAGCCTAACGTTAATCGAGTGGTGTGAGCTTCGTGTTAAGGGCCGGGCCAGGCTTACTCAGCAATTTAGACGGGACAGTAAAACATATTTAATGTAAAGTATAGGCCTATAATCTTTGTTATTATCATTTCAGTATTCAGTGAATGGACATCATGGTCAGAATGCGTGGACGTCTATGGACATTACGACCGGGTTCGTCTTCGTTTTTGCCCAGACGGCGATTATCTTTGCAGTGGCTCCGCAGTTGAAACAGTATCCTGTGACGCGGATCAGTGAATGCGTCAACCTGAACTCAATTTTTAAATCGTGGACACACTAATAGTTCGACTTACGCGTAATATGTACAGCCAATTAAAAGAATGAAAACTTAGGATATTAATACTTTCAACAAGTATAGCGTGATACAGCCACATAGTTTACTTAATGTTTGTGTCTACCCCATGAAATATACCGTCAATAATCACTGACATGCTCCTATGGCCAGCTGATGTTATTTACAGTATACGCTAAAAAATAACTATTTCCTTACATTGCTTTTCATGTTGATTAAAAAAACCTCCCAAAACAAGTGTAAATAAAGTTATAATCTCATCAGGGCGATCAGATTTAATATTAATAAATGGTCTAGGCCTATTATTGATTTGCAGTGATGACGTTGATAAAATTAGTACATCAGCTAATACTTCTGTTTATGAAAATAAGCTCTAAGTAAATGTCTTTGTAGTACTTAATCTTAATTGTACTGATCGTAAGCTATAAAGCATAACAGAAATTCGATATTTTAAAGTAAAATTTAAAAATCTTACTTTGTATATCTGAACTTAGTAGCCTATTCAATTGACACAATAATAACGTTGAAACATTAACCCAGCACCAGTTTCTTTTCTTTTCTTTATACTTAAGCAGTTTGTAAATTAACAAAATTATTGTTATCAAAAAGATGTGAAAAATCATTTAGCAACACACTTTCTGTATCAATGGAATACAATGTAGGCATATACGGACGGAGAAGCAACCACAACGGACAAATATTAAACACATACATGTTTAATACTGCTGGAGGTAATTGCTCTAACTTCGAACAAAGATAAAAAGAAGCATTCGTATAGATGCATACATTTTCAACTATATGACCAGCGGCTGCAAATAGGAACAATAATAATTATCTTACTGTACAATGTTTTTAATATGACCTTTTGTAAATTAAAATAAGTGTTTATATAAACGTTTGTGTCCATTATTATTTCTGTATCCGTCATTTTACCGTAGGTTGATAAACTCTAAACCCTTTTGTACTACTATTAGAAGGTACTTTTATTAGTAGGCTACCTTTCCTAATGTTTTACGAATTTTTAAGTAACGAAATAAACATGGATTTAAATTGCGAGTGACGCGTAGACCTAGGTGTAATGTATGAATAATTTAATGCTTATTTTGTATATTGCCTATTACAGCTGGCTTACCTATAATCGACCCATGTTTATAAACAGACGGGATTAAAATTAAGACCCATTCATAAGTTTCTTCGTTAGTGTAGGCCAACAAAAGATCGGCACCAATACGAATGATGACGTCACTACTGTAGTGGGACTTTCGTTTATAGAGGAGAACAATATATTACGCAATGTGATGTTACCACTACTTAGTTGTTTTAAGCCGATTATAAAAGAATTTAATCTCTAGGAAAGGGGGATTCGATCAGTTATACAGCATTTTTTCGACCATAGACAGAGACTAAAATTATCCGAATATGAAGATAACAATCATCGTATGCTGCCTGTTTATTGCTGTATGTGCTAAGCCATTTGGAAAACGACGAAATAAATGGGTAAGATATATACATTCAAAGCATACTGAGCTTGCTTTAATCATATGATAAGATTATCTTAACCAAGTTGAATATATCGTC